TCCTGCAGGAGGAAGGCAATAAGAAGGTGGGGGGAAAGCTGGGGCTTGAGCCCTACTACGAGACAAAGACATGTGCATATAAAATAGCCGCAAGGGCTGTAATTATGGACCACACTCGGAGAAACAGCCAGAGCTCCTCATGCAGCAAGTGTGACCGGGAGTCATTTAGCAGTGGAGAGAGGGGGCCGGGATCCTGCTCGTGTTTACACAGGCACGTGCCAGAGGCAAAGGCAGTCGTGTTCCTCCACGTCGACAGCCACTCTGCAGACAGCAGAATCAGGCTCGTGTTAGCGCCCGTGTTCGAGCAGGTCATGGCTGCAACCCTTTGGCTGTGAATCACAACAGCGTGCAGCTCTCTGCCCCCCTCGCCTGCTTCGCTGGGAAGTGAACTGGCATCGCATTAGATCACTGGCAGCCTAGCAGGGCGGGAGGATGGAGATCAGCTGTGGCTGTCAGCAAGGGAACCAAATCCTGGTTTCAAAGCCAAGCCATCCCTCTATGGGGTCGCCATCCAGCTGTTGGGACTTTTTATGAAGGAAGGGAGATTGCAGCCAGGATGAGATGAAATGCCCAGCAGCCTCAGATATGGGGGGGGTGATCTTTCACTCACAGGTTTTCAAGTACTGGTTGCAAACAGATGCCAGGGTCACATCTGGTTAAAGGAGAGAAGGGCCCTGGCTAGATCCCTGGGATTTGAGGGGAATGGAAGAATTACAGCATGGAAGAAGCCTACCCAGGAGAATGACCAAGGAAAAGACTCTTGGGTAGCAATGGGCCAACTCCCAAGGTCTTCACTCCATGCAAGTTTGATCTAGGCTTGGTGTCGGCTCAGCAGCCCCTTGGTGCATTTGGCCAACCCCACCGAGACTGAACCCACACCTCCTCGGAGCCGGGCAGGGAAGGAGGCAGCCAGGAGGGCACCAGGGCTCCCCTCCTAGAGCCTGCCAGGGTGAAAACCCCTCTGAAGGCTGCCAGGGAGAAGCCTCGAACACTGCCCATCAGCGGCTTTAAATCAGGCCCTCCCTTTGCTGGACTCATCGGGACAAGTGCAGGAAGGTCTCTCAGGGCGTCGGGAAAACCCTGCTAGCTGGTCTCATGGGGCTTCCACCCTCCGGTTACACAAACTGAGCCAAGTATAGGGAGCTCTCAGCATCTCTCTATAGCAAAGGCATAGTTTCCCGAGGTGGTGATCCCCCAGCAGGGCATTAGGGTCTCAGCAGTGCTGCACAAACACACCAGGGAAGAGGCTTTCCCCGGGACAGGGACAGGAGCACGAATGTCCTCCATCCTCCTAGCCAGGTCGACTGCTCAAGGTGACTAGGATGGAGGCAGGGCCCAGCCTCACATCTCGCTCACCCTGGGGTAGGTGCTAATAGGGCATCGGCATATGCTTTATGTCTTCACAGAGGTGATGGGAGCGCATCTCAGGGTTATAAATCTGCAAACTCTTCAGGCACATTATGCTTTTAAACAACACTACGTGTAGCTACAGGACGAAGCACTTTTGGCGGGGGAGGTACGAGGGCGATTCTTTCTAGCTCTTGCTCTGAGCATAGAGGGATTGCATCTCACTGACGCCAATGCCCAGCGTTCAGTTTAAAGAGGGCAGGTCATCACTGTCCTTCAAGGACCCAGCTCTGTAAATACAGAACCGGCCTGGAGAGTTATGATCTCCGAGGCCAGGTCCTCAGCTGCCGTCAGGCAGTGTTGCTGGCAAGGAGGCTCTGTGACGCCTGACAAGGGTCTGACCTGCCATCATCCATGCGCACGCCACTCATGCTGGAGTAAATCCTTGCACCCAATGCCTGCTGGCTCCCGTTATGACCCCAGAGCTCCCACGAAAGCCAGTGGAAGCTGGCTGCAGCCCAAGGGCAGGGAGTGCATCAGCTGGCATAAAGCAGCACAGCTCCCTCAGCTCCAAGACGGCAGCGTTCATCTCCATCAGACGTGCCAACATGCAAGGAAACCTTTGTGCCTTGTGTCAGCCAAGGGGCCCAGAAGCTTGCTTGGGTGTGTAACCATGCAGGGATCTGCCAGGAAACCACACCTGGGACAAGTCCGTGACAAAGGGGCACAGCTCACGCTTCCCACAGTGTCCCCTGCCCCGTATCCATGCTACCAAGCCAGAGACATGGGGATCAGCGGAGGTTGGCCTCATGTCGCATGCAGGTCCCGTGCAGGGAGCATGTCCGGGAGATGCACTACACAAGTTCCTTGGGGAGGGTGCAGTAGACATCATGAAGCAAGTGCATGCACACGCGTGTGCACGCACACCAGGAGGCTCAGTTCTGCAGCCAGATCCACCCTGGTCTCTGTTGCATGCAGGGAGTCAAGCTCCTGGCTGTATAAAGCAGTTCAGCTTAGGTCAGAGAAGCCGCCTCCCTGCTCTCTGGCTGCGTTTAAAGTCTCCAGCCACCAATCTCTCTCTTTCCCCGCATCTTCCCCCCCGCCAGGTATTGGCCTCATGACGGAGCACTTTGATTTACTTGCCATATAAAGACTTTGCACCAGGGCTGCTGGCAGTGCGCGCTGCCTGCTATTATTTATGTCTGCCCCCCATCAGAAATGCATCTGGACACATCACAGACTTGCAAAACAAGCCCTCTCCCTGCCCAGCCCGTGAGCAGGCACCAACAGACCCAACCTTCCCCAGTAAGACCCTGCTGCAGCTCCTGCCAGAGGAAACCCCCAGCTTGAAGGCACCGTTCAACAAGCAGGTGCCCCCTTTCCTCCCTCCCCTGCCCCTCAAATGCCAGGCTACTGGTCCTGCTACAATGCTGGGAAGAATTTCTGCCACTGAGGACCCTACAACAAGACCGGGGGGTGGCTCAAGGGTGCAAGTATGGAAGGGATCACTGAGGGTCAAATGCTGCAAGTGGAGGACCCCAGCACAGGCCTCGTTCTGCAGGGGCTTGGGTGGGATTCTCAGGGAAACCATGGCAAGTGGTCTACCCCTCCAGGGAGCTGTCAGACAAGGGCAGCTTCACACACTGGAGCAGAGGCAGGCATAGCCCAGGCCCAAGGCCAAGGGCACTCGGAGGATGGCAGCATTGGCACATGGTGCTATTTAGTCCAGCCCTCCCAAAGGGCTGTCTTAGGGTGGCGCCTACACCACTACATTTGGCAGCATCCCACATCATGGCGCTGACCCCTACCATGCTCTGTACCACGGCACGGTGCCATCCCACACTCCATCCCATTGCACTCCTCTGCCCTGCATTTGGTTAAACCCAAAGCCTAGCCTGGCAATGCTCAGAAACAAAAGAGCAACTGAGAGTCAGCAGCAGACGTGCGTTTCCACGAGGACCAAGGGGCTGGGAAAGACAGAGCGCCAGCAGATCTCCAACTTATCTTGATGCCTGCATTAACCCAGCTGTCACCAGTGCCTTCCTCGGAGCTGCCTGCTGCTGGGAGCATGTCGCAGTCATTAGCTTTACAAGTTTGGCAGAATCCTCTGTGGGCTTCGCGCGGAAGCGATCGGGGCTTGTTAAGTTCATGGTTTCGTATTCAGCGCACTCCTCTGGGAGCCGGGATGATCAACAATTTATCAAAACAATATCCCAGCCCCCTTCCCGGCCCATTAGGAGCCTCGCATCCAATGATGCCACGCCGGTCCCAGGAGATTGCCCGCAGCTCTCGGGTGGCGTGTGGCTTCCAAACGTTGGCGCAGATCCGCTCGCCCTGCCGGGTCGGCATACAAGCGCTTTACGCTAATTCACTCTGATCCCCAATTCGACAGCCCCCCCGAGGACCCCCCCCGCCGGCGATCAGAGGAGGAAGAGAGATTGCAGAGGAGAGGAGGCATCTGAGAGCGACTGGAAGTGACAAGAGCCTCCTCGGGGAGGCAGGCCGGCTCTGTCAATAGAGATCGGGCAGGGAGGATGCGGAAGTCGGGAGGCACATCATTACAGCCCTCCTGTCAGGCTAATAATCCCGGGACACAACCAGCAGATACATTAGCTGGGATCCCACAGGGGCTGTTGTGCTGTTTTATTTGATGGGCTTAATTAATTTATTTCTCTGTGCACAGCTGATTCTCAGTTGACTTGCACACGCCATGCAGCACCCCATCCCTGCCGGCTCCCCCCCCACACTGCATCCTGGGCTTCAGGGTCTCCTTCCCAGCTCTACATCCCCTCCCCAGCTGCCCCCTTCACAACCCAAGCTTTCCCATTCTCCCCAGACTGGGTACAGTTCCTCCCACCCCTAACACCCAGCACTTGCCCCATCACCTCCTGGTCCAAGGCAGAGAGCAGTCCCACCTCCATGGTGCATGCCAACTCACCCAGCCTGCCCAATTACCACCTGCTGCAGATCTGGAGCTGGACCGGGGATATAGGAAGCAAACTGTATCCAGCCACAGACACGCGCCAGACCCCAAGCCATGGGGCAGACAGCATCTCAGCTCGTGCCTGGCTTCAGAGATGGATGAAGAGGTCTCTTAGGGCTCAGCATCGCCCAAGGGGACCCGAGTCCTGCTAGACGCAGCAAGGTGGGAATGGGGAAACCCCTCTGTTCTCCACTTATCCCCCCCAGCAGCATCACCATCAGGTCCCACCAAGTCCTGGGGTTCATGCATTGTGGGGCTAGCTCGCGGAGCTAGAACAAGCCCCACCGGGTGATGGGACAACCCTGATGTCCAGCACAGATAACACAGTCCCCTCTGCCTTTCACCTACAACCCCTCCATGTGCTGGGCAAGCTCCTCTGCAGAAGAGATGGCCTGCTCCTACAGCCAGATGGCTTGTGAGAGAGCGAGGAGTCCAGCAGATAGAAAAGCTGGGAACAAGGATCCCCCAGTCCCATTCCCTACTGCATCATCCCCCTCCAATGTAACCTCAGGCAAGTCGGCTCTGAGCCTCAGTTTCCCTATTCATGAAAGGAAGATAATCATGGGCTCCCCATTAGACCCCACCAGCGCTTCCCCTTTAGAAAGCCACAGCCACGTGTAATGATTCCCCTTCCCAGCACGATCCTATAGCCCAACAGGATACTACTCACCTTGCCTTGGCTACTTGCTGGGTCGTCCGTGCTCAGGAGCTGCCTCCAGCTGGATCCGGGGCTGTGGGGACGTAGCTGTCCAGTTAAGCGAGCCCAGGATTCAGCGCTCTCCGGGCTACCTACAGTCCCAGACAAGGCCCAAAGCCCTCTGCTCCTGGTGACCTTTTCAGAGCTCATTCAGTGGGGTTGGAGCAGGGCTTGTGGTTTGCTGGGTTCGGCATCTCCTCCTTGCTGCAGGCGCCCTCCAAGCTCCTGCTCGCTGCTGGCTCTCTGGAAGGGTTTTCCAGCCAGCCCCTTGGCTGCACCTGGGGCTCACTGCTCCCAGCCCACCCCCTCTCAGGGAGGTGCTCTCAAGCAGGGCTTCAATGAGGAAACAAAACCAAAGTCCCAAGATAACAAAGAGCAGGAGCATCTTCCCCCAGCTCGCACGGCAGGCTGCCTCTCCAGGCTTCCCCAATCACAAGCTGGACCCTTGCTCCTGGTCCAAGCTGCCCAGCTTTCCCCAGGGCCTGCCCCTGCCCTTGTGTCTCCTAGCAGAGGCAAAAAACAACCTTCTTCCCTCCTCCAACCCCTCTCAATTAGGGCAATCCCGGCCAAGCCTGCTACTGCTCCAAGATCAGGGTCAGCTGGGGATGGCACGGGGTGAATGAATATCTCACAGGTGTGGCTGAGCCCAGCTTCACTTTAAAGGGCCTGTTAGCTTGGCTCCAACTCCTAGTGAGCCATCGCTATGATAGTTTCGTAGCTATAAGGGACCTTACAGGTCATTAGGTCCTGCCCTTGGGCAGGAAAGACTGCTGGGGTCTGCTCCAAAAGCCTTGTTTTTCTCCAAGACTTAAGGCCTACACTGGCAAAGAATCATACCTGCAATGACTTCTTCTCACATGAGACCTGTTTGCATCAATGGAAGGGCTCGGAGGAATAGCATTGCCCTTGGACGCCAGTATTTGCTGGGTGAGGGTCTCCTCCGGTATCTGGAGGGCTGAGATTACCAATGCTCAGTCCTTCGGGTGCTTTCCCCGGTGGGAACTATGTGAACGTGTTTCATAGTTTCTAGGGTCAGAAGGGACCTGAACAGATCATCAAGTCCAACCCCCGCCCTGGGCAGGAACGAGTGCTGGGATCATAATACCCCAGCCAGATATCTATCCCACCTCCTCTTGAAGACCCCCAAGTGTTGAGCCTCTTCAAACCCAGGCCAGAGCTGGGGGTCTTTGTAACACTTCCCCCACTCTTCCTTGAAGTTGGTACACCTTGTACCAGCCAAGCAACATCTTGTTGGCACGCAGGTTGGCATACCTTGTGCCCCTGCTCCCTGTGAGCAGGGGCTTGATTTAGAAACACGCCAGGCGGGATGAAATCAAAATGAACTCCCCGCCAGTGGCAGCAAGGTTTAATATCCAGTAGTTTGGATCCAGCAATCTGCTTTTATCTTGAGGGAAATAAAGGGAACTGCTGTGAGGTTCATAGGAGAGGATTGATAGTGTCTAAGCTTATTGTCCAAGATAAAGCTAAGGTCACCGAGCTCTCCGGGAAAAGAATTTATCACTGTAGTAAACTCAGGCAAGTGGCACGTGGGGGATGGGAAGAGGGCAGGAGGTGACAGTCGACGGTCATCCTTTCCAGAGCCCGAGGCGAGAGGGCTGGCGCAGGAGGAGCTAAAGACACACCGGGGAGGAGATGCAAGTGCCTCGAGTGACGTTCCTCTGGGTAGAGGAGCTGGTTAAGCCTGAACTCCAGTCTGGCAGAGGTGGTATGTCAGCTCCATGCACAGGGATGAAGGCAGCTGAAGCAACATGGGAAGAGCATCCTCCCTCTACCTGCTGCTCTGGCATTAGCTTGAAGGGAGAGGGAAACGGTTGGGGCTGCACAAGCCAAATGGAGAAGGCGGGCACGCACCTGATCCTGCCAGAAGGGCATCAAGGGGGCTAAGCTACGGGCAGGGCGAGGGTTGTGTCTTGGGTAAAACACTTCCACAGTCCCCTTACAATGCACCAAAAAGGTGTGCGGGGGGAATGCAGGGGCCCACATAATAAGGTAAAACCCCTGTCATGCCAGCACCGTTTCCACTAGTGCATTGACCCTCTCAAGCTTGCAAGGTTTGGGCCAAGACTAGAGCTATTCTGGAAATGTTTAGAGACAGAGTCAAGTGCCCAGGCCCCTCTTGCCCTTGCTGGGGTGCATCCCACCTACAGGGAAGCGCCGGGTCTAACGGACAGGATGTTCAGTAGTGAGCCCTGCCCTGGTGGAAGGGAGACTCTGCCCAAAAAGTGAGCAAGAGGGCTATAGCTGCCCGGCTAGGGTTAGGAGATGAGATGTGGATTCCTCACCCCCCCGTTACACATAACAGGAACTGGGCACCTGAATCCCCCCCAGGAAGCTTTGCAAATGCCGGCCTCAGATCTTTAACTCCAGTATCAGGGGTTCATGCTATTAGCCAGGGTCATACACGCGCAGCCCTCCGCTAACTCCCCCCAGGGCTGAAGCCTGGATTAAAGGTAAAAGTCCAGAGATGAACTGTCCTGACCCGCAGTGGATCTGCCTCATCTATGCCCATCAGTCTCCAGCCCCATCCGTCTGTCTGTCCATCTGGCTACCCTTAAAGTACCGACCACCATCACATCGTGCTTTCATGAGTGTCTGCTCAGCTCCGCTCTGCCCAGAGACCAGATGCTATTGCCTCCGGGAGCTGTTGATCCCAAGAGCTAGAGAGGATAGAGGTGGCTTTAATTCTTTGCTGGTTCAAAGGAGCTGCTCTGGCTTCACATTAATCCCCTGGGGGCTGGCGAGGCTGGGGAGGTGCCCAAGTGAACTAGCAGCAGAGTTTCTCCTCCCCGCAACTCCCCACTTGCCTTTTGTTTAACATTGGGTTGGAGACTATAAATATGCATCAAGCGAGGCAAGGGAGCCCCCCGGGGGGAAAGTCAGCGGGGCTTTGATACAGAGCCGTGCGGCTGAGACATCCGCGCTTGGGAGAGGGAAGCGTCCTCCCTTTGATCTCCTTGTCCTTGACGGAGGCAAAGCGGAGCTGGACGCACACTCACCAGGCAGCAGCTGCGTCAAATAAGAAGGAGAAAGCTCAGCAGATGGTGAATTCCTGCAGGCCGGAGACGCCGCAGCTATGAGCAAGACGGAGGGAGAAATGCTCCGGCCCAGATCTGGAGTGTGCCGGTGCCAAAGAAATAACCCCCTGACCCCTAGGAAAGGATACGGCCTCTAGGAGACTCAGGCCAGACGTAGGGAGCCCAGGCTCCTAGCTTGCAAACCAATGCTTTAATAACTTGATAACTTTAATAACTCCAGCCTCAGAGACCAAGGGTTGGCTCCCAGGAGTCTCCACCACCCTGCTCTAGCCACTGGGAAATGCTCCCTCCCTCCCTCCAGCCACATCACTAGCCGCTCTGCACCTACAGTGCCTAAAAGGGGCTTGACCCCAGCTCCAGGTCTGGTCTGGCTCCTCCTAACAGGTGATCCTATATGCCACCCTTATGCCATATGGGTGCATATGCCATGTTGCTCCCTTGTCCTGCAGCCCCTGCCTTCCCTCACGGGGGTCTAGGAGAGACAGACCAAAGGGTGGGAGACACCACACCGCTGCCTTGAAGCTGCAAGCTGGGCTCAGCACTACATTGCTCTATTCTTCTGATGGACATGAGTGCGCAGACAAGTTCCCCCAAGCCCCCCTGGCCTTCCTCCCATAAGTGAACCGCTAGGCAGTGCCCATCCAGTCCTCAAAACTCCCAGCGCCTCCCATACCCCTCTCTTATACACCCGCCAAAGCAATAGGCACATCACGAGATCCTGAACAACACAGAGCTCTCTCGGCGCCGATCCCCACCCGCTGGGCTCCTGTCTTCTGGGAAGTGCTATCATTTTTCCCATCCTCCCCCCGCTCCCCTCCCCACTCAGTGTCACAACAAAGATCAGGCTCCATTACAGATTGCGCTCGGTACCTCCGACGTGGAAGCCACGAGTATATAAAACATATGGGATTCTTTCTACATAACTGAGGAGCAAAGTGTGCATGGGGGGAGGAAGGGGGGGGAATGGGGAAGGAGAGCGGCAGAGAGAGGCATGGAGATTTATATTTATGCCACACCAGCAGGGAAATAAAAGCCATCAATAAATTATATGATTTCTCCAGCCGCCCCGGTAACACAAGTAAGACGGCTGCCGCTGACAGCAGGAGCTTCTGAAATGCCAACCTGAATGACAAACTTCAGCGCCGAGTGCCTGCTGGTGATGGAAAGCACCGCACGCCGGGAGTGAATTCAGGGGCAGCCTTGAGCGGGACCCTAGCTCCAGCCTTTCTCGCCCAGCTCATCTTCCTCGTCAGACGTCGCCTCCCCCAGCCACAAAGTTGTTAAACTTCAGTTCTTCCTTCCTGGCCCTGCACGTCATACCATCCTCGGGGGCTTGCCTATCTCTGCTCCCACCCTGAGCCCCAGACCTCTCCTTTCTCCTTACAGCCTCAGTTCTTATGATGATAAGGGTCCTTACTGCAGAAGCGCTTAGCTGCCCCCGGTCGCAGACCAGACTCTTGTGATGCTCGGTGCTGTACGAGCACTAAACAAAGAGACGGTCCCAGCCGCAGAGCACTTACAGTCCAGGTAGAAATTAGGAGACAACCAGAGGCGCAGAGGAGCATGAGGAAGCCTCTGGGAGCCCTATCTCCTTTGCCCACCTTAGCAGGCCTCCAGGGTTGCAGGTTGAATTTGGCCCCCATGGGTCACCATGCCTGTCCTCTTGACTCCAAATGGACACAAACACCATTAGTGAGAGCCGACACTTGGGTTTTGGGTGCCTGCCTTTCTGTGCCCACCTGCGCCCCTTCGAGCCTAACCTCGGGGGCACCGTCCACTCTCGCTGACTTGCGCTGGGCTGGTGGGTACCCAGCAGCTCTGAAAGCAGAGTCCTCCCTATGTTGGCTGCAGACAGAAGGGGTCCATGATCAAGGGGCCTTTGCAGATGTCGGCACTGATTGCAAAGCACCTGCTGCCCCTGCACTGGGGTCCCAGGAACTTGGATGCGGTCACTGGCAGGCACAAAATGATCCCTGCAAAACCTGCCACGGTGAGGGGAGGGAGAGCTGCCCGCTGAGACATTAGCTTGGAGGCCATCAGATCCACTCTTCCCTCTCCCAGCCAGAAGTCATGATCCCACAGCTGCCTGGAGAAGACAGGGCTGCGAGGCCCCAGTTGCTCTCCACCTTAATCGCCCATTGCCAGTAGGGTGTTCAGGAGCTAAGAGATGGCCCAAGGCAGCCTGGCGTTGTTCTTCCCACCTTCATGCACCTGGTATGGGGATGGCTGGGGGAAGAGATGCAATAGGAGGCCACATACTGCCCCAGACCTTTACAGGGTACAAAGCAACTGAGCCAGCGCCTTTACCGAACAGGTGAAGGTAAGTTGGCTCCTGCTGGCTGGGACTGGGCTGGCGAAAGGTGTTCGGAAGCATCAGCCCTATAAGCATTCGTCTTCTGGATCGCACGCTCTGGTTCGAA